AATAAATGTAAAAAAAACTTGAAACATTCTTCCTAAAGTTTCTAAAAAATCATCAATTCGGAGATACTTAGGCCGTGTTTATGTTGGAGCTGTGATAAACGATAATAGCAACGATATCAGCGAAGCAACGAAATACAATACCTGTGTTTGTACGCAAGTGTCTATGTTGGAGTGGAGAGTAGAACAGCGCTTTTTTGATACTTTTGATAGGATACTTTTGAATAGCTCTTCTCATCGAATCTTATCCACGCTCTCATAGCTTTTACCACAGCTCCAATATAAACACGGCCTTAGGTAGGTATACAGGGGGACAATTTGAAAAGTAGCAATCGGGAATATCTCTTAGGTCGTGTTTATGTTGGAGCTGATAAGATAAGATAAAAGCAACGATACTAATGTAAAGTATCATTAGTATCGTTGCTTTTATCGTTTCTCACAGCTCCAACATAACACGGCCTTAGACAAAAAATCTAAGCAAAAAAATACTATCAGGATGATCTCAAATACGTATAGGGGGATTGGAGGGGGAATTAAAATGAGGCACTTTTTGAGTCACTCCGCCTAATCGTACGATTTAGACTTTGCTATAAGACTATGTGAAGGGAAAGCAACGAGCTATCCAACGATATGCAGCACAAGGTAGATTCGTATTGAAAAAAAAAAGGTTAGCTATCCCCTAAGGGGTGAAACGGGGTGGCTCGAAAAGTGCCTCATTTTGGTTCCCAGTCCAAGCCTCCAATTCCCCCGATACGTATTTGAGATCTTGATAGTATTTTTTGTCTAAGAGATATTCCCGATTGCTATACTTTTCAAATTAATTGACACCCTGGCACAGATCAACTAAATACAGATGCGTAAGTAAGGTAAAACCAGGGTAGCCGGCTCCCTTGCCGCTAACGCGGCCGATCATTTACCTGTTCCAGCCTGTTGTATTTACATATAACCTTGGCTTGAACCACGAATTCACCGCTCTTCCGCATCTGTATGTAGGTAATCTGTGACGCGGACCCCCGTACTATTCTACAAGCGACCAGCCCCCTAGAGGGAGGAGCGAGGTTTCGTAGCTTTTTAGTTGATCTGTGACCCTGGAGTCGTATTTTCGAATTTATTCGAGTAAACTACGTGCACGAAATTTGACTGACAGCAATGTTAATTAAATAATAGTACATTATACACCTAGAGTACTTCCAATCCCGAGACAAAAAGGTTATAGTCCGACCGGAGGGAGGGCTATAATTTGTTGAGGGATTAAAAAACATTTTAGTCCTGAGGTGTACCTATACACTATTTTATGCACTTCACTTCATTTCCCGGGGATTAAATAAAACAGGGAATAAAAGGGTACTTTTATTCCCTGTTTCATTTAATCCCTGAGAAATAAAGTAAGAATTTAATCCCCGGGAAATAAAGTGAAATTTAATCCCGGAGATTAAAAGACCCACTTTAATCCATAAAACGAAAATATGACCCCTGTATGTATGTATATGGTGCGGTGGCGTTGGTGGCTAGGGTACGTTCCGTTCCGTTTTCCTATTTTGATATACATTCACGTTTTATGTTTTCTATTTTAATAAACATAAAGTCGCAAAGTCGGCTTGCGATCATAGTCCAACTAATATCAGAAATTCAAATATTTTCATGAAGGAAAATAATTGGAATTTGAGAGATTTTCAGGGGGGGTCAAGTGACCCCCCCTGACCCTCCCTGTGGGCGCCCTTGCACCTGCTAGTTATAAGAGTCATTATTTGTACCAATTTATACAGGTAAAATATCAAATAACACACTAGTGTGTTATAAACCCTAACCCACTAGTCGGTTACGGTTTGAAACGCACTCTCTCATAACGTCAACGCGAAACGTCAGGAAATAAAAAGTTTTAAATCCTGCTTTAAAGAAGACTCATTCCCAAAAAATACCTGTTAGTTTTTTTAGTTCTTGTATGCTGCTCGTATGTTATGATTTCTCAGTTGTTAGATAAAACATTATGTGCTACTCGTGAATTATGTTTTCTAAGTCACTCGAGAAATTATTATGTAAATTTTTCTCGCGTGATTTATTTTCAATATAACGCACTATAGTACCATAAATAACTATTATTATTTAAAAAGTTTTTTTCAGGTAATGGCCAACGTAAATTCAGGGACAAAAAGATCCCTGTTTGGGAATCGACCCACTGAGCAGTGGACTCAGGCTTCCCGTGCCAATCCTTGACGCGTTTCGTCCTTGTTAGGACTCATCAGAAAGACATAGGCTGAAGCTCCCTGTCCAAGCAAAATTGAACTTCGTTGACCAGTCAGAAACAACTACTCCGAGGGCAAATACCCCTACCGGCATTGAACTACACTGATTGGTCTGAGCTTTCGTTGGCAATGAAAATTGTTAGAAAGTTTTTTTCAGGTAATGACCAACGTAAATTCAGGGACAAAAAGATCCCTGTTTGGGAATCGACCCACTGAGCAGTGGACTCAGGCTTCCCGTGCCAATCCTTGACGCGTTTCGTCCTTGTTAGGACTCATCAGAAAGACATAGGCTGAAGCTCACTGTCCAAGCAAAATTGAACTTCGTTGACCAGTCAGAAACAACTACTCCGAGGGCAAATACCCCTACCGGCATTGAACTACACTGATTGGTCTGAGCTTTCGTTGGCAATGAAAATTGTTAGAAAGTTTTTTTCAGGTAATGGCCAACGTAAATTCAGGGACAAAAAGATCCCTTTTTGGGAATCGACCCACTGAGCAGTGGACTCAGGCTTCCCGTGCCAATCCTTGACGCGTTTCGTCCTTGTTAGGACTCATCAGAAAGACATAGGCTGAAGCTCCCTGTCCAAGCAAAATTGAACTTCAAGGATTGGCACGGGAAGCCTGAGTCCGCTGCTCAGTGGGTCGATTCCCAAACAGGGATCTTTTTGTCCCTGAATTTACGTTGGCCATTACCTGAAAAAAACTTTCTAACAATTTTCATTGCCAACGAAAGCTCAGACCAATCAGTGTAGTTCAATGCCGGTAGGGGTATTTGCCCTCGGAGTAGTTGTTTCTGACTGGTCAACGAAGTTCAATTTTGCTTGGACAGGGAGCTTCAGCCTATGTCTTTCTGATGAGTCCTAATGCCCGTATTACATCTGTGTATTTTTCCGTGTATTTATTCATGTAGTTCAGGGTGCCAACATTATTTTGTTTTTCATAATGCTGATTTATGTTGCGTTTGAAGTTTTTCGGTTGTCACCCTGAACTACATGAATAAATACACGGAAAAATACACAGATGTAATACGGGCATAACAAGGACGAAACGCGTCAAGGATTGGCACGGGAAGCCTGAGTCCACTGCTCAGTGGGTCGATTCCCAAACAGGGATCTTTTTGTCCCTGAATTTACGTTGGCCATTACCTGAAAAAAACTTTCTAACAATTTTCATTGCCAACGAAAGCTCAGACCAATCAGTGTAGTTCAATGCCGGTAGGGGTATTTGCCCTCGGAGTAGTTGTTTCTGACTGGTCAACGAAGTTCTATTATTATTTAAGTTGATATGTTTTATCAATGAAAAGTTTTTTCTGGACAATAAAGTAGATTTTGATTTGATTTTGTCAGAGACTTCTTCAACCCGTTTACTCAGGAAATTTTCCATATCCTGGCTGTTTTCCTTATTTTTCTCGGTATAGGTATTTAATGGTATTTTTCTGCGATTGACAAGAAATGTCAGCATTTTTGACCGGTTGACAGGTCGCAAAATTCAATATTCTGGTATTTCAATTATGTTTCAATAGTTGCTAAGGAATCAATGAATAACAATACGGGAAACACTTTTCCGGCCTAGGCCGGGAAAGTGATTCTCGTATTGCTGAATAATTGGAACTAAAAGACAAACATGTAACAGGTATTTAACCGATCGCAGAAAAAAATAGTATGTGTATTTCGGTGGAAAAGCACATTCTCGGCCTTCGGTGTTTGCCGGCTTCGGCTACGCCTCGCCCGTCAACTTACACCATCGGTCGAGAATGTGTCACTTTTCCACCTAAATACACAATATACTATTCTTTTGACCGTGACAATAAGCTGTCTTTTTTTGGTAGTAGACGTTTCGTCTATTTTATTTATTCTTTTTGTCATTGCACTCTTCCTTTGCCATTTCTTCATCTACATAATTTATTATTTTAAGTTAAAAAAGTACTCCATGATAGTGGAGTTGAAATTTAATGTACAAGGAAACACAAAGTCTTCCTGCACAGATAAACTTTAATCGGGTTTATAGAGCCCTACATGATTCGAAGCTAGTGAGGAGCTAGTTTGCTCTGATATTAAATATGTAGATAAAATACATTGTAATAATTAATATTAGAACAAACTTGCCCCTGATGATGAAAGTCACTAGTTTCGAAACATGTAGGGCTCTATAAACCCGATCAAAGTTCATATATGTGTTTTCTTCGCATATTTATTGTTTTGTTTCCTATTTTGTAATTTTTAGTCTTTTTTGAGTTTTGACCGTTTCCTCTTAAAATAATTACATATTTATTGGAACAATGTTGAAAAAAGATATTTTTTCCACTAAACCCAAAAATCTATTCAATTTATACTTAATTATAAAGACATATCAAAAAATGAGCTACTCAATGAAGCAAAATCTCTTCAGAAATTGATTGTGCAATGAATGAAAAGCTTTTTTCTAAACTCAGTCTAGAAGAAAATGACATAAGAAATGTTTCAAAAACTGGTGCGATGAGGGGGTGTAGTATATTTGCTTTTTTACGCTTTATTGGTTCCAAAGTCGAGAAGGATCGGAAATTTCACTTCCGTTTTAATGGCTATTGTATTGGAAAGTTAGCCAAGCACACCAAAATTAATCTAGTGCTTTTGATTTTTATGCATGAAATGAGGGGTTCTCTTCGGTAGAAAATAAATATTGGCAGTTTATAATGATCATTGGTATAAGAATTAACTGATGCATTCATATACCCGTAAATTTTTGAATCTTTTATTAATGTTTTCATTTTCTTTGTTTCAGAAACTGAAGTAAATGTGGCCAAACAGCCTCACAACTGGGTAAGATATCCTTTACCATAACTAAAAAAGTATATAATATATAGAACAAATATGAACTATGTATTTACTAATACAAACAAGATACCTAAGAATTCTCTATTTCGATCTGTGGCATCAGGTCATCATCAGGTAGATACTATAGGATATGAAATGAAACCAAAATTCGGCTTCTATACGATGTAAAAATATTCTTCAGATTTATGTGATTATTTTCTCAGTTTTCAGCCCTTTGAGGTATAGAAAACTGCCGCCGACGCATTCTGTTTGTGTCGCCACCAAATAATTAAGCTTTTATTTAAAAGAAAATCCATATGGGAGGAACCTTTTCAGCGCTTTTGTCATCACCAAAGTAACCCAAACAATCTCTAAAAGGGTTTTGACCCTACCAAAAGACGTTGTATTTTGTAGACAGCGTGGTGTCCAACCTAAGCTCTTCTTTATTCCTATTTGAGCAGAAAATACTTTGTCGTAGGTATACCGGGTGACAACGAAATCGTTATACAAGGCGTCATTCACTTGTCTTTAAAGTTAAAAATTTGAAAATTGGGTGGAACGGGTAAGTCATTGAGGCGCACATTTTTCGTAAAAAAACAATTGAATATCACCTCCGGTTACTCCGGAAATGGACCCAAGTCAAGAAATTTTTATGGAACCCTGTATATTTTTTTGCACAGTTGAATAGAGCTTAAAATTCCCTTTCCAATGACATATCACAACTTGCATTTGCTTCCAAGATGGCGGCGTAAGAAGGTATTTTTCTTAAATTCAATATGGCGGCATTCTGACGTAACCGATAATGTTTCTGTCAAACAAATACTTTTCCCAATCCATAATTTTTAGATTTGAAATGGTTTTACATCGAATTTGAAAAAAAAAATGATTTTGCTCAAAAACAAGGGCATTTCAAAATTTCTTGGAAATGCAAATTTTAGTTTCAAATTTTCTAAAAATTTTGACTAGGAAGAGGTACTTATTAAATTCTAGAATTAAAGTGTGTCCAATGGCCTACCGAAAAATGTCTACCAAAATGCATATTCATTTTTCGGTTAAGGTATGCAAAGGTTAGATCAGAATGCCGCCATATTGAATTTAAGAAAGTGCCTTCTCACGTCGCCATCTTAAAAGCAAATTCCACTTATCATATGTCGTTGAAAAGGGAATTTTGAGCTCTATCCAACTGTGTAAAAAAATATACAGGGTTCCATAAAAATTTCTTGACTTGGGTCCATTTCCAAAGTAACCGGAAGTGATATTCAATTGTTTTTTTATGAAAAGTGTGCGTCTCAATGACTTACCCGTTCCACCCGATTTTCAAATTTTTAAATTTAAAGACAACTCAATGACGCCTTGTATAACGATTTCGTTGTCACCCGGTATATGCCGAAACAAAGTTTAATGAAAAATATGTTTTTTAAAACTAATTGCACCCTCAATCCGATATTTGCCCCTTCAATACGATCAAAAATACGTTAAGCCGATTTACATCTTCTGACGTTTTTGTTGCTTCTATGATAGCCTCTAACAACAAGAAAAGGGGTGTATCCTAGCTACCAGTCCATTTTGGGTCTAATCAGGCCGGTATTACGGCGGCAAAATAAAGTAGATACACGTGCAGATGTTTGCGTCTAATGGTTTTTGATGATGCGATTACCAAGTAACAGATAAAGTTGTTCCAACAGAATAATTTGTTTGGTTACCTATCATTTTCTTTTGCTGGCCAATTAGCCCTTTGGAAATAGGGTGGGCAACGAAGTCATGGCAATTAGCTAAATTTAATATAGGTTTACCTACTTGAGAGTGAGATGCTATAAGTAAAATGATCTACGAGATTTAGTTAATCATGATTATAGGTATTGTGACGATACGCTTTCGTCAGGGTAAACAGAATCTATACCCAAAATTCCAGCAAAGACAAAGAGGATTGTCGGGTTTATTCTGGATTTTACAAGAATAGATTACAGATATATAATGGCTGGTATTAGTTAGTGGTTTTTAGTTTCAATAATGGCTGTGATATTATTTAAATAGTGAATAATGTAAAGTTATAAAGAGTTAAGTTGTTTGAGTTAATTAGTGAAGTAATTAGTGTCAGAGTGTATAGTAACGTGGAATAAATTATTGTTTTGTTAATTGAACTTTAATTTTGAAATAAACGGAACCAAGATTTCTGTCACGCACCCCAGAGCCGTGACATTGGTGTCAGAAGTGAGATATAATTCGAGGACTGCAAAGTGAAGTCCGATTGCAGAATAGTGGGGACACTGGTGTAGTAGTGTGGATACTTAGTGAACACTGGGACAATTAGTCAGTGAAAGCAGTGATCATCACAAAAAGATACTTAACCGATCGTGTAAATTACCCCAGAAGTGACTGAATACCCGATTGTGACTGTGATAGTGAATTTTCAAGTAAGTTTTAGAAAATTCTATTTACAAACCAAGGGAGATATCGATCGAATGTGTGACTGCACCGACGTATTTGATACATCAATCATCATTCAGAAAAAGAATTTCGAGGAATTTCGGGAAAATTCTAGAACATTCTATTCGCAAATCAAGGGAGATATCGGAATTGTGACTTCACCGACGTGTTTGAAACTTCAATCAAAAACCAGGAAAGATATTTGAAGAGATTTTGAGGAAAATTCCAGGACATTTTGTATATGCCTATTACGAGACAAGCAAAAATGGAAGAACAAAAAATTGAAGAACTTCTCCGCAAAATGTTGGAACTTCAAGAGACCAAACAACAGGAAGTGGAAAACCAAATATAATAATATGCTTCAAGAGGGAATTATTGAAGAGTCAAATAGTCCATGGTCTGCGCCAAAAGGATTGGTTACGAAGAAAGATGGGAGTCTTGGATTTTGTGTGGACTACCGTAGGTTCAATTACGTCACCAAGAAGGACAGCTTCCTTCTCCGGAGGATAGACGATACATTAACAACTCGATCCGCCTCCAAATGGTTTTCCACCTTGAATCTTAAGAGTGGATACTGGCAAGTGGCAATACACAAATATGAAAAAGAGAAAACTATTAATGAGTAAAAAACTTTGTATTTCGTGCAAACTTTCTATAATTGATATCAGTGCAAAGCGCTTTCGGCCGTAGCCATCTTCAGTGCAACCTAAAAGTATGGAAAAATTACTTTCTCAAGTGTCAAAATGACTAAAGAAATAAAAGTGAAAGTAGACTTGTTCAAGAGTTCACTTGAAATTTTCTACTAAAGAAAGTTAATTTTTACTCACTTCGTCAGGTTAGTACATGGAGTCATCTCATTGAACGCACATATAAGTGTAAAGGAACGAAGACATCACATTACAACATTTTAAAATATTTATGTCAAAACCATTCTTCTAAAATTAAATATACCATTATGCAACAGGAAAGGAATGCATAATGGTATATTTAATTTTAGAAGAATGGTTGTGATATATTTTAAAATGTTGTAATGTGATGTCTTCGTTCCTTTACACTTCTATGTTCAATGAGATGACTCCATGTACTAACCTGACGAAGTAAGTAAAAATTGACTTTCTTCAGTAGAAAACTTATTAGTTCAACTGAACTCTTGAATAAGTCCACTTTCACTTTCATTTCTTAAGTCAATTTGACACTTGAGAAAGTAATTTTTCCATACTTTCAGATTGCATTGAAGATGGCTACGGCCGAAAGCGCTTTGCACTGATATTAATTATAGACATTTTGCACGAAATACAAAGTTTTTTACTTATTCACTTCCTCAACGTGCATACACTACAATCAAAGAGAAAACTGCCTTGAGTACCGGAAGCATCTAAACATTCCGGTATAGGATTCGGCACCTAGGCATATTTCATTGGTCCGTTTGAATTCGGACCGCCAATTAATGCGAAGTGCCGAAATCCGTACTTGAATGTTGGACGGTGCTGAGCCTCAGCTCGGAATGGTATATACATATACTATGTGGAGTGCCGAATCAAAGGTCAAAATGTTAAACAGTGCCCAGCTGCAGGTTGGAATGTTACTCCGTTAGCGCAGTACAAAATCAACAAACAAACTTTATTTACTTTTTGTTACACATTTATTTTATTTCAACGATATATATTTCAAAAAATCTTGGACAATAATTTGCAGTGGTGGACCCAGGGGGGGGGGGGGGGGGGATTATAAAAACCTGAAACCTGGCAAATTAGAATTAGTCTAGGAAAATTGTCGATTTTCAACAAAAAAAATCCTACCCAAAAGAACTTTTGAGGGACGATAGGGGGAGGGTGGGTGATCATAAAACCGAAAATATCAAACATTCACCCCTCTGGCGTTTTGCGCTATAGGGGTTGGAAGTGCGCCATTGGCGATTACTTGGTACCTATTGATTTTACAAAAAAATGTTTCAAATAAAAGATGTGCAACATTATTTGATCTACAATGTTTATCTAAAGACTTTTTTGATTAAGGGCCGTCTGTGGTCATAAGGGCCGTTTGAAATTTTATAATGAAAATGAAAAATTTTAACCAACGTGAAAAAAATTTCTACAACACATACAACATTTTTGCTTTATGAAGTTTTTACTCACCCCCTGCCGTTTTTCAATAGGGGTAGTTTAAAGTTTTTTTATTTTTTCACAAAAAAAAATTCTCAATAAAAGTTTCATAAGATGACATTTCCTACAATTTTTTCTCATCAACTTTTTTTGTAACTCCCCCCCATTCAGCGGGGGGACACTTCCCTCGGGGAAATTTTAGTTTTTAGGGGTATATATTTTTTTTTTTTTTCTTTTCTCGCCTTTAGTGCATATAAAAAGTTGCAATTAACATTGTATTAAAAGGATTTTTTTCCACCACCTTTCTGTTTTTAGGGGTAGTTCGCCTATTTTCAACTTTACAAAAAAAAGTTATAGAGAAAAGTTGTTCAAAATAATAAAATGAACAAGTTTTCTTAATAATTTTTTTTTGTTAAGTTGAAAATAGGCGAACTACCCCTAAAAACAAAAAGGTGGTGGAAAAAAAATCCTTTTAAT